ACGAACTAGAATTAGTTAGACAATCGCTGAAAGTCAGAAAGTATTAGACAGCCGCTTCGTCCTTATATGAAACTTAAAAGTAGTCCACCTGGGATTAAACCAAGGACCTTCAAGTGTTAAAGCAAGGGTCCGTATTGATAAACAGTGACTTTAAAATTAAAACTGAATATAATCTTAAATTCTCTTCGTATTGTTCACTTGAATCTGCTCATTAATGAATAGGACTTCAATTGATCTGTCTCTTATTAGTATATGTGCATATTGTTCGTATTGCTTCGGTATTGCCATCCATCTTTGCTTACAATGAATATAATTTTGTCTTAGACATTAATTTATCAGTCTACACTTTGACTGATAACATTGTTGATCTATTTTGTTAGAATCAGCAAATGAAACATTATTTACATTAAACGATATAAATTGGAGTGTGCTTCTGATGACTATAACTGAAGTTGATTTACATTCAAACCATTCCTATTCCCTGTGTTATCAGTCACAACACTAATTAAATCTATAAAGAGATTATACCAGATTGAATAAAGATGCTTGATTCAGAAAGACCGTGTTTTGTAGATAACAGCAGTTATACTTGACAACAAACTTTACTTTTTATATGAATTGTTTTAGCTATAATGTCATTTACTATGAAAATCCCCATTAATATATATTTCATTTCCATAATCGAAATGTTTTATCCTAGAATAAACTATTCAAAATATAACACATAATAAGTCATTTTTTTATAAACGGAATGACAAACAAACTATTTACAATTTACATTATAAATGACTGTTTACGTTAAGTTTTAATGTAATTTAATGTGCAAAATAAAATTCAAAAAAATAAATAAAAAATAAAAAAAAATAAAATAACATTCCTTCTTAAACAATTATCATGCGTTTGTAAATTTGTCATTTCAATTTTTAACTACATTAACATCACACAAGTTCATAGTTTGTTTACTTAGTATGTTTTGTCAAATTACTTGAAGGTCATTTTCTTTTTTTTAATATATGCCTTAAGAGTTTGATCTAGAACTTTAGCTATTCAGTTGAGTAAATAATGTGTAAGCAAGACGACAACTTAGCAACAACAACAAAACAAACACTAGACGAAAGTGAAGTTGTATTACAGTTGGAAAGTACAAATCATGAAACCTTTTTATTCAAAAGTTCAATGTTGTTGTAATTGGAAGGATATTTGTTATGATTTCATTTATTATATTATGAACTGGTTATTGAGTAGACTTAATTTAAAACGAAACAGCTGTTTTATGTTGCATAGTAACACTTGACCAATATCAGATTCAACTTATATTAATCTTCACAAAAACCTAACAAAATATCTAGTGAGCGTAAGTGACTCAGTTGCTATTTTTTTAACTTAGTTTCTACTTCCAACTAGTGAGATTCAAAAAAAAGGAGTTCGTAGGTGTATTTCTATATTGATGAGCTATCTTACAAAGCAATCATTCAGATACCATGTATAGCTTAATATTAACGTTTCTAATATCAAACTAGCTTTTTAGAATTTGTTGTAAACATTCTTTTATCTCATTGATCTGTTTATTTGTTCACACACTTTTTACGCATTTTTTCCACTCGAAATTCGATTAATTCAGTTGTTGGGTAAATAAAACTAACTTTCCTATATCTTATTTGTATCGTGGTTAGAATTATTAATTTTCTGTTGATAATGTTCAATATGTCTATGATTTTACAGTATACATATTGTTGATTCAGTCTACAATGTCATGTAAGATAAAATTCACTCAATTTTTCTCTGAATACCTGCTTGCATTTTATCTCAATAAAATATGCTTAATTTTAAATACAAGCTTTTAAACATTAAAAACTCTTAACTGGAAATGATACTTACATATAGTCTAAATTCTAATCGATTAATCACAATAAAATCACCTTTATTCATAAAGTGAATAAGAAAGCAGTGGAAAACAATTTAGTCTTAAGTGTTTTGGGTTTTCTCACAGCTAGCTAAGGCTTTATATCTGACCCCATATAAGTTCATGCATTCAAATTGCTTAATAACTTTCAACTGAGGTGAAACATAGGTCCACTACCCTCTGTGCCAATATCAGTTCACCATAAAAATCAAGTTCAAAACGAACAATCTTTTTAAATACTTATTTTATTCGGCTTAAAAGTGTTTGCATTTCGACTAAAATATAAAGTTCCATCACCTATTGAAAATTTATAGTTTTGCCCTTGATATATTTGTAGAGTTCTAAATTCTTAAAATCTACCACATATGGCCTATCAAAATGATCTTTACAGGAAAATGTGAAGATATTTGCTGAGAATTATTTATTTACATTTGTAAATTTTATCCAAGCACTTGAATGATGCACAATTCAACTATCAATGTAAACTGACCGATGAAATTAAAATGAAATAATTAGCCTGAATGTTCATTTTCGACAAACAGATTGCTGAAACACTACTATTAATAATTTGGTTTCTTTACAATGAAAGAAAAATAAAGGAGAGGATTAAAAATATGGATCTCATCTAATAAAAACAGACGAAATGATTGTATGAAATTCATACTGAAATATTTTGCTATGTACTCTCGTATTACGACCGAGCTACTCTTACTGCTTAGTATACTTGAACACTCACTCGACAACTCCCCAAATCAGAACACGGTTGAATAGGAATGTAATTACATTCCAAATAAACAAGGCTAAATGGATGCAGGAATCACAATAAGAAAAACGTAAGTATATTGATAATTTTTGCACAAGAAAATTCTAGAGGCTTCTTCATGTATCCACTAGTGCTGATTGGCTAAGAAACAGTCAGTGTGCCACAACACAATCATGAACGGAACATGCTTTAATCTAAATTATATTCCGCTAACAGTTTTATTAAAAAAATGGTGTATATGATATTGCTTATCAGCGTAAGCGTGATCTCCACAGTGGTATCAAATTAACTCATGTAACTAAATTCTTCAAGCATATATCAAAATATGTTTTTAAATAACTTGAAGGCCTTGATCTACTAGAATAGTATTTAATTATTCTCCACTAAACTAATGATTTATTAGTGATAGACTATATAATTAAGAGTCCTGTATGATATTGTGACCTGAAAACTCAAGTCAGAATTGTAATGGTCTTTCACTGATAATAATAAATAACAATCGTGATCTGTAATAACATCATTCAAGTGATTTGTGTACAGTTACCTGGCCCACTTATCTCCTATGATTTCATTGATAAGAGAAACGACAGTGAACAGTTTTCCACTAGGATGATCAGATATTAAGTAATTTCTGCATTTCAGTATTGTTTCAACTGATCAAAGACAGAAACCACTTTAAAATTTCAATGTTGATCACTCTGAATGTATATTTCAATAGATAAATCTTTTGTACATCCACTCTCTCTCTCACACACACACTCTCTTCATGTTCTTTTAATAACATACTGACTATGCTAAATATTCAGATTAAAATTTTACAAAAATAACTATATATAATTTCAAAATATTAGCAAAGACTTGGTCTTTCTTTACTCTCTTACACAAAAGCCATACGAAAAAGGAAACTATTACGAGACAAAACTATATTACAGCTAAATAAATCCTTCATCGAAATGTTTATTGATATTAAATTTGAAGATTATTTCATCTATACAGTACTGACAGTCTTGTTGTATTAAGTTATTATAATCTAGGGAAAATAATATTTATCAATAAAATCAAACTTATTAAATATAATGCAATGAATAAACAAGATGTTTAGTGTTTAAATAATGGGCTGAAAACTTCTATTAAAGTACATAAAATATAGTTTATACGAGTCGTGAACAACTAATTGTTAAGTAATGATATTTAGGCACTTACAAGTAAACAGATACATTGTGAGAATAATCCTAAGAAATTATGATTTAATAGGTCACATTTATGGTACATTGATTTCTCACTCGTTAACTATGAATATCATGTTTGTTTATTGATAATGATTGATAACAAGAAACTACATGGTGTAAATTACTCAATCCTAGAGAAGATCAGTTGATATTTGAATAGCACAATGGCAGTATCTCTCACTATGACAGTGAACGATGAAAGTTTGGACACTATATAGTTGATTGGTTTCTACAAGTTTCTAGATACATTTAGTGAAGCTTGCTGATTAATTTCTAATCTAAGTTAAGAACCTTATTTCTGTTACTTTCAGCTATATGATTTTCTTAAAGTACATTGCACACTATCGTGAAAACGAGATGATAAAAACTGTAATTTATTATGTTCAACAAAATACACTAACAATTATACTGATCAAAATGTCATCATATTTAAATAACTCTACGTGGAATAAGTACGTATAGGTGTATTATAGTATTAATTGGCATTTATCCTAAATAATTGTAATAAAAAGATAACTGTCAAAGTCAGTCATATGTTAATATTTATCAATTTCACAAATACCACAGCATAAAAATCATTTCCGAAAAATTAATTCATAGAGTTAATAGCAATAATAATGATAATAATAATATATTTTAAATAGTGTCATATTATTTGGGTAATGATACAATTCAGTGCAAACTAAGTCATACCGAAACATGATTTCATAACAATTTTGTTACTAAATGTAATTCCTATTTTATATAAACAACAAATTACCTGATACTCAATATTCCAGTCAGAATAATAATATGGAATTATAATTGGATAAGATACTTTTATAAGTGCCATATTCTAATGTAATGTATATCAATACACAAAAGTATATACCTAAGATTTTGAATAATATACAACGATATATATCTATATAGATATCCATGATAGCATACAAATTTCAAAAAATTAATTGTCATAGATCAATTAAATAGTGAAAATATACAAAAATCAATAAGAAACTTAACATGACTTTACAATAAATAAGAAACAACTATTATCATAACTCTTTTCTAATAAAGAAAAAACAAAAATCAATAAAATAATATATAAAAATAAAACAGGACTTACTTGGATTATCCAATTTGATTCAAGTTATTGTATAAATTTATATAGTTAGAATTTGATTATTTTAGTTAATTGATTGATTAATTTAAATAAATAAATATTTATTTATTTGTTTATTTATCATAAAATAATATTGAACGTAAAAACATAGATATATATAAATTATCAATTTATTTTATTTTTATTTTTTAAAGTGATAAAATTCAATCAAATGATTCGTGGTAATTTTGTAAATATTTATATTTTTTTCTCTTGAAATTAATTGTTTATTGATTATGTAATTTTGAAATGTTTTTAATATTTAATTAAATTAATTAAAATAATAATTTCATTTTTCATTTATTATTTAAATTATTGATCTAATTATTTTAACAAATGAATTTATATTGATGATATTTTTATGAAATATATCAAATAGAAATGTTGTAATAAATAAGTATTACAAGTAAATAATAATAATATTGCTAATAGTAATATTTAGGAAAAATATATGAACTATGAGAAACTTATAATAGATAAAGAGTAGAATATAAAAGTTGATGATTGGATTGTTGTCAAATTATTATTATTATTGTTATTAACTAACTTTTAAAAAATGTACTCTTCTTAAAGATGCTAAATTTGAATCTAATTTTCAGGTAAATGTATATATATATATATATATATATATATATATATATACATATGTGTGTTTATAGATGATATATAACTGTCTAGTTATTTACATATATATATATATATATATATATGTTATTTTACAGTATATACCTATAAGTACAATTGGGACATATTTTCTCTTTTGGATTATTATTCATAGGAAAAAAAATGAAATACGATTGAAAGTTTTTAATCTTAAGTAGATATTTTTGTATACCAGATGGTTGTTAGTTGTTTGTAAAATATGTATATGTGAATGTTACTTATTTACAACTATTGTTTATACGTACATACATCTTGTGCGTTATGTATATGTATATATATTATGTTATATTAAGTATAAGTACTTTAATGTATTCGGATTGGTTCGGTTGTATAGACTAAAAGAATTTTTTTTGCATTCAAAAACAAAATAAATAAAGTACAAAAGATCAACATTTCTTACAACACATGTATCTGCATATATACACACATAGAACTATCATATCAAAAAACTTTATATTAATTTTATTTAAAAAAAAGAAAACGAATTTGATAATCTTGTAAAAAAACCTCAAATCATACAAATCAAAAAGACCTACATGAAAATCTTCAATTATTTTTGTTACCTTTAAAGAGAGAAAGTGTGTTTTTTTCACTTGGAAGATAAATGTACTCATTATTGACGAAAATCAAACGTCTTCAGAAGGTGAATTACTGTATGTAGTTATTGATGAAGATTATCAGTATGAAAATATGAAATAATAAACTGTAAGTTATCTGAAATTATTATGATAAAATTTTAAAATTTATAGCCAAAATATAAGCAAGAACTTTAACAAGAAAGCCTGAAAATATGAAAATCACGAAATCTAAAACACAATGCAAACAATGATTGAATATTATAATAGTTGGATTTATGAATCAATTTAAGATAGGCTACCATTGAAAACCTGAAAGCACTGGACGATCGGTTCATCCTAGTATGAAACTCCTTAACAGTGCACATCCAAGATCCCGTATACGGGACTCGAATACATAATGAGTTACCAAAAGCGATCATTTGTTACTAGCAAGTTAAAATGATACGGAGAAAGAAGAGACCAAATATTTTTTTAGACCTAACAATAAACGAATAGGTATAAAAATTATTAACAATAAAAAGAATTAACAGTATCTGAGACATCACTTAAACCGCATATTATCCATACATCAGAGCAATCAAAGTTATAATGAAAAATATTTGATGATTGATAATTCAGTCGAATCAAATATTGTCTAAACAAAAGTGATTTAACCTGTGACTAAATTCTTAACAACCTCATTGAACAATGTTATACACATTTTATTTCAACTTTTCCATTAAGTGATATTTATATACACTTTGTTCATGTTGATGATAATATGAATTTCCAACTACTTATAAATGTCCGTTACTATCATTATTCATGAATATTAGGTAGTCAATATTTTGATCACAATTCAATATAATAAAAGCCCCTCATCAGTCGTCACAGCTTTAGCCCCCAAACGCCCGAGCACGGGGCCACGCGTATACAACCACTGCCAGGGAAGTCCTACTCAATGCCTTCTCGCACCACGGACGTTGTTTACGAAATTGAGAGGACGAAAACTGAATGTCCGGTACTTTAACTGGATTGGTGGATATGAAGGATCCAACTAAAAGAGTTAGAAAACCCTGATTACAAACCAATGGTGCATATGGGCTCCAGTATCCTGAAGGAACCAATAGCGTATGAACCAATTATTGGTAATCGGCTACCATGGGACTGCAGTTCCTAACGTTGCTTCACTGCTTTGTGGACCACCTGCTTCGATCTGGGCACAGGGGCAGTATCACAGCCCACAAACAAATCAAGTGATTTGTGTTGCGCATATGTATTTGGTGCCCCTTTGTACCAATATTTACGTGTTCAAACAAATAAATGCATAAAACGACATTGAATTTCAATGATTTTTCCTGTTATACATTTAGAATAGTTTAACAATCTCAATTATATAAACTGATGTTATAATCACTACATAAACAGTCTATTATGCAACATTTCAATCATTATTAAATCATTTTGAAATGAAACCTTATTGTTTGAAATAAAGCAGGGAGCTTCTAACTGTTGTGGAAGTTTATTCTAAGATTTTCTGTTTCAAAATATCTTCTAGAAACTATATATATATATATTTGACATATAGGAGAAAAACTTAAACATTCAATCCACTTGATATTTCTAAATTTTATAATTTTATGGTTAACTTTGATTGTTAACTTAGATGAATTTTTCTATTCCATAAAGATTTTAATTGAAACACTCAATTATGTAACATAATGATTCGAATGAAATTTAAAGAATACTTTAAATGAATCATTTTCATCTAACCATCTTTACCACTAACAATAACAGTAATAGAAAATAAAATTTTAAATAAACTTTTATCTCTGAAAAATTCCCATTATTATTAAAACACAATCAATATGAACGAAGAATATTCTTTACAATAATTTCTCATCACATTCTACAATTGTCTCATATCTAAATTAATAATCCATAAAATTGGCCAGATTTAAGACAGAGTACATCATTTGAAAATTGTATATATAAATCAAGAATTGTTGCTTGTTATATAAAATGAAATCAGATCGTTAATTTTAGGTCTGACTATGAAGTGTTAACATGAATCAATTTATAAGCGAAATGAAATTGTGAGATAAATGATCAGAATATATATGGTCAACAAGGGGTGAGAGAGCGAGAGAATAATGGAATAAAAAACAGAAATTACATAATATGTAGAATGATATGAATTAGGTCAGATAGAGTAGATACGGGTTGATACTAAATAAATTCCCCAAACATGTAATGATAATAATGATAACAATAATGGTAAAGATAATAATAATAATGCTTAGGACATAAAATGAACATTAATCAAATTACGTCACCATATTATAAGGTTGATGATTAACTAGTTGACCAGGGTAAAAGGAGTGGCTAAACGTATTTCTTCTAGATGCAAAGCTCGAGTTTTTTTATCCGAATAACAATTGCTTCAGCCGTTTGTAGGATTCTCAGTCTGACGCAATTAAGTAGACTGCTATTAACACGATTTATTATTGTGAAAGATTGTTCCATGTTGGCTATATATCCTGTCTGAACTAGATGATCTCATTGAATTACAGAAATAAAAAAATTATTCAGTTATAGGATATTTTCATGATTTCAATGATTTTATTCAGTGAAATATTTAAAACAAAACAACAACAAAAAATCAGTCTCATCTTTAAAGAAAAAAATATATATTTCGAAACAATGTTATGTCTAATAATTCATTATTTACCTCTATCTTTCATTTATGCAGACTGTGTGGTTTGTTGTTTTCATACTTTTGTTTGCCAACACTTTATATAGAAAAAACAAAGTTGTCAAACAGTGTGATGTTGATGAAAACTGCTGACAGTACATTTACATTTACATATCTCTATGGTTACTAATTAATATATCATTAAAAAAAGCACTAAAATGAAATTTTTTTAAAAAAGAAAAATTAGATCAGCAGAATATCACAAGTATGTAACCAATAAAAAGTTGAAAAATTTAGTCAAAAACACATTGAAATTAACATTTTAGCAATACCATAACATGACATGTAAACAACATAATAAAATAAATATGTTAGAAAGCAATAACAACAATAAATACTTTATGATTTTAATAATAATAAAGGTTATAACAAAAAAAAAACAAATATAAAATATCGATGATTTTTCTTCAAAATATTTATTGAAAACTTTATAGTTACTTTAATTTTGATTGAATCAAACACTGATGTCAATATTTTGTCTTTGTTACTTTGATAGTTGTCCTAGGAAAACTGGAAGTATGATGATGATGATTATGCAGAATCAAGGTTACTGGGTTTTCTATAACTTAGTAATTAAAACTTTTTAATGCAAACAATAATCTGAAGTTTTCCGTACTCATCACAATCATTAAATCTTACTAAACATACTTATTTGACTGAAAATTCTTAGACATAATAAACTGAAATCGCTGCTTAATTCATTATTTATACACATTACGAATCTAAACACAACAATTTTGATTAAGATCTAGATGAAATACCTAGAACAGTGACAATGCACATGTTTTGAAAACATTGTAATGTTTGAGTAACAAAACTCAATTAATGCCACACAGATGTAACCATTCTTATTTGGCTCTTACAGAATTCGAGCATAAACAAACCTGTTAGACTTAATACGTATAATGAAATGTAAGAAGAGGACAAGCAAAAGCTGATAATAGTGAAATCAGATGAGGACTGACTTATCAGAGACTTGACGATAAATGAAATAACCGGATAAAAGTTACTTCATTTTATTACATGTTGTTTAACTCACCGAATAAATACGTTTTTTTTGTATACTTAAAAATGAAATATGGATCCCAATTAACTTCTCACACGTTCTTTCAGTCAATATGCTTATAACAACGCTATACCAGAAGTCGAAATACGGTTGTATTTAGGATATGTAGATTTTATACATTCGTAAAATCAATCTTTCAGAAAGAAAAATGAACGTATGTGATTTAGATTATTGACCTCAGCCAAAACTGTTTAGTTGAGTGTAATTCAGTTTGTATTCAAATTAGACTATGAATATGATAGGTAAGTACCCACATACACACAAACAAAGCGCACACTTAAAAACAAACATTATGCCTAATGAAATAGATAAGGATAAATACATGGTTAACGAAATATCTAATAAGCTAAGAATGACGCCTCGGTTATATTATCTGTCTGGCTTTACATTTGCTAAAGATAGGGTAGATTTAAATGGCGGTATAATAATAACTGCTACAACAGTCTAAAAGTATGCAATCTTACTTGACTTCCTGATTGACACCAATCATTTAAAGCTTAAGAACAGTTAAATATGAAAATAAAAGGTCGATTAGGCAAATGAAGTGTAAGAAACAA